ATGCTGTTCTCCTCTGTACACAATATTCTCCCTCTTTCTCTTCTTCAGAGTGTGAACAAACCCAAGGACTGGTACAGGAGCATGTTCAAACAGATCCACAAGAAGCCACCAGGTAAGAGATGCATCCCATCTCACGCCACAGCCACTCCCCTGGAGAATGACTCTCAGCCAGTGTCAGTCACTGCAGAGCCAGTGCAAGAGCCAGAGTATTCCAGGGATAACACCTGCTGGAGAGCACATTAGAATACGTCTTCTGTATCACTCTGGAGAGAAATGGGAACAGAGTGGGACTGACCGGAGCCCAGTGATCTGGCATCTGATCGGCCATCTTGGCTCATGTGCGTGCATATATTGGGTTATTTAGGGTACTTTGAGTTTTGTATATTTGACTTTTCTTCCACATTGACGGATTGGCATGAATTGCGCATAAATGCCACACTGTTATTTCATCACTGTGGCTGGCCTGCGGATGACAGGCACCAATTATGTTGTCAAAAGAGAAAGAGGTTAAAACTGGATTGACAGTTATTTTAAAACAAAATTTGATGGGGCAATAAAGAGGTGGGCAGTGATGTTGGAATGTAAACTGATGATGTAGCAATCATGCATGAACAATGGATGGATGATAATAACCTTAAATGCAGATGAACAATCTCTCTCCCGCTGTGCGTGATCTTCTGTTGCCCTGGGCTCTGTCCCTTTACTGTTCCCATGATGCAGAATCTTCACTTTTTAAGGTGTGCGCCTGTGCGGTCACAGATACATGATCGAAATGTGTTTAACTGGGCATTCTAATGCTAATGTCGCTACTGATAACAGAAAGCAGCTGCACTGGAATACTGACCAAGAATTTTAAAGAAAAACATTTAAACAAAAACATTCAATACCACTGTAGTCTGTAAAGGGTTAAGTGGTTGCATGTAATGGGTTCAAATGTTCAGCTCTGAGAGGGAGTTTCACTCACAATGCTGTGGCACAGGCATTTGGGCTGATAATGGCCATGTTACAGCCCCACCTGTGCTCACAATGAGGGGGTCTCATTATCCCATGTATGAAAACACTCATTACCTCAATCCCTCTAGTTTCATATACTCAGTACCACTCCCCTTAAAGTTTTCTACTCAGTTCATGAAAGTTATTTCATTCTCTTTATCTGTCTGTTTTTCTGTTAGCCTTCATTCTCTGAGGTTTTTCATATTTCAGTTACTTTTGGCATCATGAGAGTTGTGGAAGCAGAGTTACAGTATATCTGAAGACAAAAATGATTGAATAACTGCACTAAATTCTCACCAAACCTCTGTTTCCGTACACAAATAAAATAATTTGCACAAATAAAGTGTGGTTCAACAGCAATTAACGTACTCCTTTTGAGAATGGATTTAATTACAATTTCATATTGGATAGCTTTAGTTCTGAATCAGAATCAGAATCAGACGACTTTATTTGTCCTAAAAAAGGCAATTCAGTTTCTCCAGTCTACCGCGGAAGGTAGACTGCAGTGGGTCGCACACTGAGAAGCGCCCCGGAAGAAGTTCTAGAGCATGTAAGGATATTTTGTTCAAAACCAGTTTGTTTAAAATTGGACCTCGCTCTTTCCCATCTCTTTATCACAGAGCCTGACCTGGGGGACGCCAGGCTGTGGTCGGCGGACAGTAAGTGTGGAGGAGATTAACTCCAGCTGTGACTGCTGTCACGCCTCATCTTTAATTGGATACAGTTCAAACTGGGATAGATTCACTGTGGCTGATGAAATTTCCTCATGATGTTACACGCTCACTGGTGCCATTGCTTTTGCTTGCCTCAGGGAATCCTGAACTCCTGGGAGAACCTCCCAGTGTCGGTTCTGTGGACGGACACGGGTGCGAGAAGGACCTGTTCACTCTCACTCCCTACGGTGCGCTGCCTGACTGGTACGTTTGGACACCTTATCAGGGAATCTCAGAGAGTGAGTGCATACGAGGCTTAGCGCTGTATTCAAGGATTTTTGGAAGGCAGGTTTGTGAGGGAGAGAAAGAGAGAGAGAGAGAGAGAGAGAGAGAGAGGGTTGGAGAAGGAAGATGCGTCATACATTCTTTTAGCAACTGCTATCATTCATTTGAAGTGGCCGCATATTTCCTGTTTGGAATTCTTTTATCAGGCAGCCAAAGAGATGATACAAGTGAAATAACATTAATCATGGATACAAACTATTAAGCTTTGAAAAATGTCATGAATTTGTTTTAACCATTGAGCCCCAGAGTTTTTTGAGGATGGTTGTGATGGGATAATGTTGTAGTTGTAGTTTTGTTGGTTGACTGATTTTCAATGAATCACTAAAGAATAATCCACAAAATTCGGCTATAGCAGACATTTTGACTTGTTTGACTTGTTTCACAAGTTTGACTTGTGATATGCATTGAGGTTGACACAGGCTGTAATACACTGATTTTATTATGCACATTCTCTTTGGAAAGAGTGCTGTCTCTAGTTTCTGGTGATACCCATTGTGTTGGTGTCAAGTGCACTGCAACAACTGACTGTCTAAACTAGGAATTTAATCTTACCATGACTCCTATTTCTTCATACTTATTACTTCCCATTTTTCTCAGAAAAGTTCACAATATTGGCTTATTTCAAGTTACCATATGTTTGACAAGTTCAATTTTCTTATCCATTTGGCAAATCAAGAAATGAGTTATAATTCACCTCATTGGCAGAATATTTGTCTTCAGGAGAGTTTTTAAGCCTGATGCAAGATTAAAATGCTTGGAAAGATGGATTCACTTCACATTTTTTGCAGTGCAGATTTTTTTTTTCCAGTGGCATTCAATTGCGCTGAGGTGGGGCTTCCAAATCTGCTGCCCACCCTTTTCAACAGCTTATTTAAATTTTTTTATTATTATTAATTTTTATTATTTTTATTTTGCTACTGTGGACCTGGCACTGGATGCAACGGGTGAAGGACAGCCATTAAAGTCCAAATTGCGCACAGTTAGTAAAAATTTGGCCAGTTTCTGTGGCACAGATTAAGCCTCCTCCTTGACTAAATTCTATTCCGGAAGGAGGTTTGTTAAAGAAAACTCAAAACTATTTTGTCCAGGATTAAGCTTGATTTGTGTCTGTGAAACCAACCCGTAGCATAGTAACACAGCATGAATGGTTCTTAAATCTGCCTGTTTGGGTGCACCAGTGTGTCGTCCGTGCCAAGTCTGTAGAAACATGCTGCCTGGAAATTGAGAGGGTGGCCTTCTATGTAAATACCAGAACATACCCCAGACACAAAGAGACAAAAAGGCCTTAAAAATATGAGTGTGCGAGGCGTGTTGGGATGTGTTGCTGCAGGTACCTGCAGGGAAACTGCGATAAATGCGCTGTATCTGGTGGGCGGGGTGTGTTACAGGAGTGAGCTCGGGGATGGAGACAGCCAGTCCAGTGGAGGAAGGAGGCACCCTGAACCGCGCAGTATATTTGACTTCGAACCAGGACGGAGCACCAACTTGGAGGAGCTCACTAAGGTACTGTCTGATACATTAAACAGTCAAGTGGAGAGTGAGGAGCTGGTAGATATGTGGTTTTTTTTTTTTTTTTTAAACATTCAGTCAATGCATTTGTAATTGGTTTGTTTTTCTAGGAATTTTTTGTGTGTGCGCATGTGTGTGCGTGTGTGCGAGTGACGATGGGGAATCGCTTATAGTTTTCCTTGGCAGATTGAGCTTGCACATGTGATAAAGCAGCATTAATTTCTTCTCTGGGTTTGAACTGATCATTCTTTACCAAAATACTGAATGTTTGCTTTGGAATGATCAGATAGTTTATTGAAGTGAGATTGTGGAATAACTTCTGAAAAAACAACAGAGAAAAAGACTTGGATGTCCTGACTTGTGCTACACTTAGTATGGGATACTAAAGGAATCTGCTCAGAAAGTTTTATTCTTTTTAAATCTCAGTTGGGGACAGTGCTTTCTAAACTGAGGATAAATAGAATTGGAGGCGACTTTATTAGATTGCTCCAGTGGAAGTAGCACAATAGGCCTCTTTTATGCCTGTCACAGTTTATTCATTATGGAGCTTAATGCATGCCTTGTGCCAGCGTTCAGACTGCAGCTTTGTGTTGTGACGGGTGTATTTGTGGGTAGATACCTTGGCACATGCAGGCTGTGTGACTGGAGCTCAGATGTGACGACATGATAAAGTCCAGAGGCTGTAGTCCTGTAGCCTTCTCTCCCCACTCTTTCACTTCCCCTCTGTTACCAAGTTAGATGGTGAGATTCAAGACCAAGCAGCCCCTGTCAACCATTCATGAGCTTTTAATGTGTTAAAAATATAAAGGGATCCCACATCAGCTATTACTGAGGTGATTTGGTTCCTTTGTTGTTGTTGTTTTTTTTTTTTTAATTTTTGAACATGTATTTATTTGTTTATTGTATATATTATATGCACATACGATAGGTTATGCACTTTTTGATTACTTCTTTTTGGAAATTGGGCTGCAAAAGAAGCAGTTATTTTTTTCTCCCTGGCTTCACTTGGGGTGCAAAATTGTCAGCATATTAATGGCACTGTTCCCACGTAGTAAATAACGGGTGGACTGGGCACTCGATCTGAGGGTGTGTCTTGCTTTTGGCAATATCTTTTTGGGCGAGCGTTGCTACCAGAGAACTGGCAGCCGTGGGAGTCATTTTGCTCCAAGTCTGGACAGTCAGAAATGTTCCTGACAGGATCCCTGGCTGACCTCAGCATTACACCAGCAGCAGCAGCAGCATATCACTGCCAACAGTCTGGGGACGACTCCTGAGAGCATAGGCTCCTTTAAACCGCCGTGACCTCACAAGGAAGGAGGAGCTAGCAGTGCTGCTGCTCATTATGCCACCAAAATTGAGGCAAAGCTAACGCCTGCTAATGTTCAGTATGTGAATCAACACTGAAACTGACCAGGATGTGCGTTTGTGACAGTTGAAAGGTCCTGTAACTAGAAATGCCTCCTAATAAGTATGCACCCTGGCTACCGTGCCAACGAGCCTGGCTGCTTGGCAATGTGGTCAGCGCGTTTGGCTCTTACCCGGGAGTCTGGGGTTCAATTCCCCTCCTTCGGCCTGCCACACGTTCATTAGCTGAGATGAAGGGGAGAAGTGGGAGTGTACTTCACCAGCGCTTCTCACTTTGTCCCAGATCTACCGCTGAGTAGGCCACAATATTTCAGCCCAGACAAGGAGCCATTGTTACATCCTACAGGACCTGGGCGCCTTGTGATGCCGATTAAGGCTTTAACTGCTTGTGGTGTCTCATGCCTCCAAGCGAGAGGGATTTCTCATCCACAGCCCCCCACCCCCCCCCTCCACCCCCACTCCAAATGATGTCAAACTTTACTTCATACTCAGGTGCAAAAAGACATGCAAACTATTTGTCGTTTCTTCCTCACTGGCGTAAAAATACCATATCAGGTGCTTCAGCTCCACTAAATGACCTCATCGTCTATATTATTTTGCTAGCCCTGATAAATGTTGCCTGTGGAGTTGGGCCTTGGCGTGGGTAGTGACTTACCCTGCCAAAGTATTCCGGGCCATAAAGATCTCTTTAAAACTCTTCCCCTTTTAAAGCCATGCTTGACGCAATCGGTTGGGTATGGGGTCTCGTCACTGTCCATTTATTGCTTTGTCCCATGGATAATCATTTTTTTCTAAAGCACACAGTCTGTTTTATCTCTGGACATCTGTTTATCCACTTAAATTTGAAATTTGCCATTTTGGCAAAGAACCAATGGTTTTGCTTCAAAGAGGAATTACCTTTTGCTTAAGGGAGCTTTTTAGTTAAGGGATTATTTTAAATATATAATTGACAAATTCGATTAGTTTCGTACAGCCACATTATTTTACACCTTTGATAAATTAAGATGGTTGGTCCCTGTGCTGTTCTTCTCCATCTGGAACCTTCCGCAGAAAATGTGTCTGGTCTTCTTTGAGGAAATCAGGGTTTAAGATTGGCACCTGCTTTGCTCAGTAACCATGTATTTGTTGTTCCCACTCTTAGGGTCACCATAGCCCCAGGGAAACCCACGTGAACGCCCGGTCCCCCTCTATCGAGGTTAGTGGCACAGAGCACCAGTGCATGAGCTCTGGGGTCCATATCAGGAAGAGGGGTAGGGGTCTTCTAAAGTTTGTTCCAGGTGATCTAGATGCACCCAATTCAATTTCCATAAAACAGACCTGGGAGGTTTTGTCTTCACTTTCAAAAAAAGGAGGAACCATATTTGAAGGAATGTATTTTACTGAGCTGGAACTAGTGGTGGCGACAACTGTTTACGAGCAGTCAATCTACAAACTGTACGTTTTGAGTTGTGGTGATTTGTGTGCTTGATTAGGACACAGATGGGTAAATGTTTGTGTGTGAGTAAAGGGGATCAGCACCGTTCCTGTACAGTGTCTGTGCCTTGTGTATTAACCCCTCCTCATGCCCCTCGCCCTGCCCCTGTCCGCGCCCCTCGCCTCGCCCAGGCGAGTCTGGTCTCAGAGCTGAGTCGCTTTGAGGCGGAGCTGGACTCGGAGATTGAGGGGCTGGAGCGGAGGCTGTCTCAGAAGCGGCAGCAGCGAGGCCGGGGTGAGGTACTGAGCCCCCATGTGATTTCGCTGATGCACGCGCCTCCGCTATCAAAACGCCCATCAATCTCCACCCTCAACATCAGCCGATTTCCCCCAGCTCCCACTCAGAGAGGGCTGCACTGAGAGAGGTCCCAGCTATCCCTCACAACTGTGGCATTGCTTAGTGCTGCTCCAGGAAAGCAATGATTTGGTCATTACTATCTGCAGGCATATGAAATCTCAAAAAGGACTTAATATTGTACATGGCATGCAGTCTCCAATAATACTTAGCATAGATTTATTATGAGCAGTGGCTCCACTCCTGAGCTTGTTCCTTTATTTAGCCTTTGAAGAGTTTTGGAATTTTTTCCACCTAATTGTGTGTTCTGTAATTCCATTGCATGTAATTGTCAGCAGTGATTGTTACACTGACATTGTAATATTCAATTAAGAACATTGTGTTAATGGGATTTTGAGTGCATACCTTTAAGGGTTAAGAGCAGGTAATTTTGATAACTGTTGTCTTACGCCTGTAGTTTGGATCAGATTTTGGCCTCTTCCTATAGAAGAGCTCTCCATCACTGGACCTCTCTCACACTGCCTCTCTCTGAGTGGTGAGAGTAACTCCTGTTTCTCAGTGTTTGATTGCCTGTGGATTCTCTGTGCATCCTACCCTCACTCGCCCTGATATCTGCCCGGCATCACCCACCAGGACTGTGCATGCCACAGATGACCTGCTCGCGCCGTGTGCTCCAATGATGAGTGATCGAGATGGGCTTACGCTGCATGCCCCCATTCCACTGTGCTTTTTCGTATTAGCAGTCGTGTTGAAATTTGAGTGAAATCACAACCTTAACCTGCTTGGAGTGACATCAGCATGCTGTGGTGCATGCTAAATTTCACACTTAAGCCAATGGGAATCAGTACATAATGACCTCAATGGGGTTATCAACCATGGATTCCCATCTCAGGTGCTGATCCTTTTCTCAGCCTTAATTTGTTATGGAAACTCTGATCATTCCTGCATGAAACTTCTTTATGTGAAATCAATTTGATTTTGCTTCATAACAGATGATTTGTAAAAGAATTGTCCATCAAGTGTTGGTAAGCTGCTGATCTGTGTAATGATATCTAGTGGGCCGTAGGACCCTGGGGAGTTGAATCTCCTTGTCGGGAGTGGTCACTGGCTTCATTCTGAGCGAGCTGCTGTGATATTTCTCCTAAGCTTTCCTGAGAAGTACACACTCAGAGGAACATGCTTCAATGTGATTTCTGCTTTCCAGGGCTCTAAGGTCTCAGTCTCAGTCACTTCACCTAGCGCTGGGAGCAAAAAGGAAGCAAGGTAAGTGACAGCCTTGGGATTGCTTCTCACTGCTCAGAAGTGTGTTTGTCCATGTGCCTGTGCTTGAATGTTGCCTAAACACCTGAGTGCATGTCTTTGCAAACATGTGTGTGCATTCAGTAAATGTATATGAGTGTGTTCGTGGATGTTAGTGTATGTAAGTGAGTTTATGTCTTTGCCAAGTGAAAGCTTAACTGTGTGTCTGCATGTGTAGTATGTGACTTGGTATTAATATGTGCCTGTGTGTTACTTGCATATGTCTTACAAAACTAGCGGGTGTTTTTACGTTTACTGTATGTATGTGTGAATGTCCTCATGTATGTGTACTTTTGCAACATCCACATGTATCCTATATGCCTTTGTGCTGGTAGTCATGCTTGTGTGTTCACGTGTATAACGGTGTATGTGTGTGTTTAAATGAATCTCATGCTTTAGTGAGTGGGATATGCCCTGCAGTAAAACTAAACCCTTCTATATGAGTAGGTTTGACAAGAGGCTTAGGAAAGGGCCTTTGGGCTGAATAGCTGTAGCTTTGACTATGAGTTGTACAGGGATTTGTATAGCATCAGGTCAGATCTACTCTCCTGATTGAGTTTGTGCTCAGGTAGGTCACTGTTGCTCCACATCCTGGGCATGGCTGCGTTTTGGATTTGTCATTGCTGATTGTTACATTTTTATTCTTTGACGGCAGTATTACTTTTCATTCAGCCCTGTGGCAAAATGTGGAGTATATATATTCTTCTTTTTAAGGCTATTGTGTTGGGCTGGGAGAGCATCCAGCCTTTTCTGGAAATAACAGTTTAGGGGCTGATATGCTTGTGGCCTTGGTTTGTAACCTCAGAGAACTTAATGGTTTAAAGGTCTAACAGCACTTTTGTGGACTGTGGTGACAGCATGGTAAATATTTTCTCATAAGGAAGAAGATACGACCGTAATATTTTTTAAGGTGTCTGTTGCAAAAATAGACTTTGGAATAGTCTGCATCATGACACAAGCCAATAGTTCATAACCAGTAGGGCTTGAAAACAGTGCAAATCTTGGCTTGTAGGTTCCCTTGATCATGGAAGCAGACTGTAAGAGCATTTTGGCCTCTTTAAGAGCAAGCGACCAAGTTGCTTGTCTGCTGCTGCTTTGTCGCGCCCAATTTATGAACACTCCTCTCCGTCTTTAGTGTTTCATTCAGCAGCCGGCTCAATTTTCAGTCTTATCACAAGCCGAAACAACAATAAACCGCTTTTTAACTAACTTAGTAGCTTTCCTGGGGCATGCATTGCTTTGAAGAAATCAGTGCTCAGTAGCAGGACTGCCACAGTTTAGGGCTGGAAATATAGTTGATGGAAAAACGTTGCCACATAGAAGCTGGCAAAGGTTTCGGATATTACATCAGATGTTTTTTTTTTCTCAAATTATGGATATAAGTCATATTTTGAAGAGGACTATTCCAACAGTAAAAATAAAAATTTCTGTCTCATCCTCTGAAAAAAATATCATGTAAATTGCTGCATCCTATTGTGGAATGATATAATGGTTTTCCTCTGACAAAATCAACATGTTTTCCAGTTCTCTACAAAAACAATTGCTCACGTCTCACATTTGCGGTGGAGGCAGTGTTGGGGTTTTAAAGTTGTTTGGGCAAGTTAATGGTTGAACTCCTGGCTGGCTTCCTGCATACCTCTGTTTACCTCCCCCGCAGTGCTCTCCATCCAGTTATATTTTATCTCTTTTTCCACTGCTGTCAGTGGGGACCAAATAATGCTGTCACCCCAAACTCTGGCTGCATGTTTTGCCCTGGAGCCCAGACGTGTCCTGGCATGTCAGTGGGGCTCCTGCTTTAAGTGGGCCCATAGGGGTGGAGAGCAGTTCTATCTGAAACCAGCTTCATCTGTGTTCAGATTAATATTTCACTCTGCTAATTAGGATCCAGTGAGCAAAATTCCTTCCCCAATATATGCATCTGCATTTGCATTTGTGGGCAGCTTACCTAAGAAAGCTTTTGAGATATGTCTTGTAAAGGCTCTGAGCTATGTTTGCAAGGACTCATGAACTATTAGACAGGAAACGGGAGCTGTACGAGAGCAATCTTATTTAAACTTGTACCAAACATTTCTGTCTACCCACAACTGCACTCTTGCAAATTTCTGACCGAGTATGTAATCCATTGTTGGACTGGCTCTCTGG